CTAATTTCTAAGTTTGATTCGAATGTTAACCTAATCTAAAAACTAAATCTAATGATTTAAACTATGAGATGGTGAATCATTTAATAAAAAATTAAAAAATATAAAATATAAAAAAACAACATAAAATAAACATAATTACAAGGACGTAATTACATAAATATCAAATCACTAAACTAAAAGGGAATAAATTAAACATAAAATGGGGCTAAATTAAAACAAATCAAAATTTGAAGGCTAAATTGAAACAAAATAGAAAAAATAGATTAGGGACTAAAATAAAAAAGCACGAAAATATTACATGGGCCTAAAGGAAATTATTCATTTTATTTAAGCCTAAAACAACCTGTTTAAATAAAAATCCAAAATTACAAAATCAATCCACAGAATTTTAAAAAAAAAATTAAAAGGCCACTACACGTGACTAAAGTGTAAAAACACCCTAAAAGTAGAGGGACTAAGGGGAAATTTCACTAAAAAATTCAAAGCACAAATGAAAATGGGAAAATTATGAAAATAGTCCTTGTAAGTGACCATTTTGCAAAAACATGGTAAAAGTCAGGGACTAGAAAGCAATTTCCCCTGAATTTTTTCTATAAAAGCGGACTTTTTTCTTTTCTTTTTTTTTATTTTCATTTTTTTCCTTTTTCAGGAAAAAAGTCGAGAGAGAGAGAGGCTCTCCCCTCTCTCTAAAAATCCAGCCGCCGGCTCGGTTACCACGCCACCACCGTCTTCGGTGGCCGTCGGATGCCACACCGCTGTCGTCTCCGATGGTCGTCGGCTACCGTGTCTTCGCAATCTCTGGTGGTCGCTGTCCACCAAAATTTAATGGGAGACTTGTATCGGGCTCCTCGTCACAGATCTGAGCTCAGTTTCGCACAAAACGACCTCCATCGCCGTGAAAATGGTCGCAGACCGTTCGGCTTTCCTACGCTCCGGCGACTCCTCCTACTACCCAAGTTAACTCCAATCTACACACTTATATATTTATTTTTGGTTTTTTACTGTAGGAATGACCTCGGTTATAGTTGTATTAGGATAGAAAATTTTTCGTTTTTCTTCTCTGTTATTCGAAAATGAAAGAACATATTTATAGTGTACATCTGAAAACACAAAAAAAGGAAAAGAAACTTTTATATGTACATAGATTCGAAATTAGGAACAGAGGAAAACACAACAACAAAAAATATTCGAAACTAAAGAAAAAATATAACCTTGAACATGGTTTATTGCTTTTTTAAGAAAAACCGAGTACAGTATTTTTCCATCCCCTTTTACAGTTTTCATCATGGGTCTTATTCGCATTTTACAGAAAAATGAAATCATTGCTATTTTTGTTTGTTTGTATTTGTTTCTACATGGGCGTGGAATGAGGCAGCTGGCTTGCACGTTGATTGGGGAAGGAGATGGTGGCAACAGATTAGGGCAGAAGAATTTGCTTGCTGGTTGGGTGAAATGGGTGGCTACCCTAGGGGCTAGGGTTAGAGCGGGTCGGGTCAAATTTGGGGCCCAGGTTTGGGTTCTAGTTAGGCCTTAGTCGGGTATGCGTCTTGAGGCCCGATTATGTTTTGGGTTTTAGGTTGGGTCTATAATAGGGGGTTTGTTTGGTTTGGGCTTGGTCGAGTTTTGGGTTTGATTGTAAAATAAATAAAATGAAATTGTGACCTCTAAGAATAAAAACCATTTCTTTAACAATTGAGGTAATTTAGTTCATGTTGACTTGAGATATGTGTTATGAAATTGTAAGAAAATTAGTAATAGAAAATAATCAATCAATTCCGAAAATGAATAACCATAAAAAAACTACCTTGAAATGTTCATATTTAAAACTTGGGAAAAAAATTTATAAAACCATATTACTTTTGTCATTGTTCAATCTAGTCCATCCCCTTCATTCTTTACCCAATTTTGTTTTTTGTTCAAATTAACCCTGAAGTTTACTCTTCTCAATTAATCTTAATAATATTTAATCCACTAATAATTAAATATTAGTCTTGATTAATTAATCTATTGAATAAATACCTAATCAAAATTAGTCACCACTTTAATTTCATGACAAGCTAAACGATATTATTTTACCGAAATTTTAATTATTAAGGATTATTGTGTACCAAAATCCTAACAATAGCAGACTAATACCGCATTTTCTCCACACATAAATTTTATAACAGATTCTAAAAAAAATATTTTGGTTGCACTCCCGGTTCCAAGGCTTTGCCTTAGTTAATCCGGATTGACTCGCGTCACACACTTGTCTTTGGTGGGTGAATCTCCCAACAAAGATTTTCTACATACACAAGGGCTTGAACCCGATGCATTGCTTAAAAGGAATCAAACAGTTTACCACTTGAATCAACCCTATTGTACAAATTCTAAAAATTTTAGTGTGTATAACGTTCTCTAACAATATATAATAATTTCCTAACTTTCTAATACATGGTACATAATGTATTTTTTTAGGTATAATTTTAAAAAATGCTTTTAACATTTAATTAAATAATAGAGTGATCTATGTCAAATACCAATCATCTTTAAGCTCGGACTCGAAAATACCATCGACGTTTTAATTTTGCCAATTTTAGCACGGACGTTTATGTTTCATTGCAATTTTTCCACTCCGCCGTTAATCCGTTAACGGGACGATTACATGGCATCTTTTTTCCGTGACGGCGATGACATGGCACCCTCATCAAAACAACATCGTTTTGGCATGACCGTTTTGATGCTCAAAAAGATCAAAACGAAGTCGTTTTGTTGATGAAAAATATATTTTTCATGAGATTTGAACCGTAGACCTTTAGAGTCAAAATCTAAATACCCAACCACCAAGTTAACTTATGAACTTGGCATAACCTTAACAAAATTATTATAAATGTTCATCACTACCATTGTCACCCTTATTATCTTCCTCATTATCTTCTCTTAAGAACTTCACTTTGGTTACACTGATATCACCACCGACTACAAAGTAACCAATGGGCATAAGGAAATAAGGAGAATAGTTGTAATGGTGAGGCCTCCCCTGATACCGGGCTCGTATGTGCAAGACCCCTACGGTCCTTTTCTTCTTTCCCCGGGCATGGTTTCTATTACGAGTTGGAATCCCTATGTGGTAGGTAAAATAAAATTGTATTCAGTTTCCTCAGCTGTGAGTAATTTTCATTAGATTTTATTCTTGAGGTTGTAATGCACCTGATGCAGCCACCTGTTAGTCCCAGTACTCAAGCCACTGCTGAATCGAGCTCAGTTTTTGGAGTAACACCATTATCTCCATCATCACCTGCCTATACTCGATCTTATCAACCTGTAATTCATGGTGTTGTATCTTCGAGTAGTATTCATCTGGAGCAGTCATTTTCGGAGAGACCTGGCCAACCAGAATGTCAGTATTATATGAAAACAGGTGATTGTAAATATGGATCCTCCTATAGATATCATCATCCAAAAGAAGTGTTTGCACCAAAAGTTTATGTCGTCCTTAGCCCTTATAGTCTTCATGTTCGTCCAGTAAGAATTTGTAAAATGCCATATAAATTTGATGTTGTTTACAAGGTTGGGTTTTAAAATTTTAATCATGTTTAATGCTTCGTAGTGGTTAGCATGCTCTATTTCTTGATGAAACTCAGTTTGCAATGAACCACAAAAGTTAAATGAAGGAAACTATCATGAAATTGTTATGATTGAGTAGTCTTATTTATTTATTCATGCTCCATATCCCTGTATATTTTTTTTATGTGGCCTGGTGTTCAGATCGAGGTGTATCAGTATCACCTTTCTTTCTTGATGTCATTCTGCCTATGTTTCTATCAACCAATTAATTTCTAAGGTTTTTATGTATTTGTCGAGAGTCTTTGGAGGATTATATCCTTATGCCCATTTTCGGCATGTACGGTGATAGTCGGTGGTGATATCAGTGTAACCAAAGTGAAGTTCTTAAGAGAAGATAATGAGGAAGATAATGAGGGTGACGGTGGTAGTGATGAACATTTATAATAATTTTGTTAAGGTTATACCAAGTTCTTAAGTTAGTTTGGAGGTTGGAAATTTTGATTTGGACTCTAAAGGTCTACGGTTCGAATCTCATGAACAAAACGACGTCGTTTTGATCTTTTTGAGCATCAAAACGGTCGTGCCAAAACGATGTAGTTTTGATGAGGGTGCCATGTCATCGCCATCACGGAAAAAAGTTGCCATGTCATCGTCCCGTTAACGGATTAACAGAGGAGTGGCAAAATTACAGTGAAACATAAACGTCTGTGCTAAAATTGACAAAATTGAAACGTCGATGGCATTTTCAAGCCCGACCTTAAAGATGAGTGGTATTTGACATAGATTACTCTAAATAATAATGTTATCCTCAATAAATTTTTAAGCATCTAAACCCATTTTAAAAAAGAAAAAAATTCCAATATTTGATTAAATAGTCCATTCAACTCTTATTTTTTTACAATATTTTTTGTCCTTAATGTTTCATCTTAAGACAAAAATATTTTATTTTACAAGGTTTTTCGAACTAAAATATTTTACAAAGTTTAAAAGCCAAATATCGATTTAATCAAACATTTTTTATGATTATGCTTTTTTTAACGTGTACCATCGTAAAAACAATAATGTATTAATACTAAATTTTTACGATTGTGCGTGAAAAAACTTAACACGACACCAGGGGATAAAACCATGGTTTTCAGAATCGGACCGGTCAGCGAACCGACCGTGCTACCGGTTCACTTGTTCAACTGGTCGAACCGGTCAGACCGATCATAAGAACCGGACGACGTCATAATTATTTAAAAAATTAAATAAAAATACCAAAAATATTTAATAAAAAATAAAAAAAATTAGGTTGAACCAGTTCACAGTCCGGTCCAGTTCGAGCGGTTCAAAGCCGGTTCGAACGGTTTCTTGCGGTTCACTAGAACCGTTTCAACCGAGATAGAATGGACCGGACCAGGCAGCGATTCTGGGTTGAACCGGCCGGTCCGGTTCGGTTTTCAAAACACCGGTTAAAAAAGAGATTATTTTTGTAACATTGAAAGGCAAAAAGGTTAAGATCAAAAACATCCAACAAATCACATTTTTCTTCATAATGCATTGAATGACGAGTACAGAATAAGAAAGTAGAACAGAATGTCACAAAGCATTTCCTTTGCAGCACCATACGTTTCGAATTTTGATGCTTAAAGCCCTAATCCAACAGTGCGGCCATCTCTCCGTCGAAGTCCGGCAGTGTACTGCTTCTCCAAATCCAGCTGGAGTTCCCACTGCTTCTCTGCGTCTTGATTGTCGGCTTTATGCTCTACCTTTGTATCCCCTTTCACACCCTACAATTGGCCATATGCAACCTCAGACTTTAAATCTGTATTAGTAATGTGAAGAAACTCTAATGGAGGGAATGTGTCATAGCAAATGTGAGTTCGTTCATACATAGTTCGAATGGCTGACTTGTAAGGCAAACATGTTGCTCAGAGAAAAACAGCCAAGGCATAGAAATGTAAAAAGGGATTTTACCATGAGTTTATTGAACTTCACTTGTCGCTCACGATCACCAAATAGTGCAGTATCCCAGCGACGACCAGACTGCCATCAATCAAATATATAGATACAAGAAGTAGTTTATGTTCAATGCAACAAGTTCCTTAAATCTTGAAAATTTAGCTAATTCAGCAGCAATACCTCTTCTGCAGGAGTGCTTTTCTTGCTCCCCCACAGCAATTTCTTCTTCTGCTCCGTAGTCATATTACTATGGTCTGCCCCACTAAGGTTCCTATTAACTGCATTGATAATAATCAGTGTGAGAAATAAGCTTTCATGGAGCTGCCAGCCTTTAATGTTCCAATAGCAGGACCATAATGACTTGGGGCTAGTTAAGCATTTGTTGTTACGGTATAGTTGAAAAGTGAATTTCAAAATATTTGGTTGAAAAGTAATCTGAAAAGCACCTAGAAGCCAGCTTCTTGGTTTGGTTCTAAAAGCACTTTTAAATGAAGTTTTAGATAGAAAAAGCCCTATTTTTGGGGAAAGTCTCCTCACGTGCGGCAGCCTAATATACGGCTAAAGAAATACGTTACCGGAAATGTTATTATTCTTTAACATTTTCGGTAAAAAAATTACCTAAAACATTATTATTTCTACCATAAATGTTATTATTGGGTGCTTTACCGGGTTTGTTAACATATCTGGTAAAGCGCTACCTAAAATATTATTTTTTCTACTGGAAATATTAATATTTGGGCACTTTACCAGAAATGTTAAAATACATAAATGTTTTAGGTAAAAAATAATGTTTAAGGTAATTTTTTACTGAAAATATTAAAAAAATAACAACATTTCCAGTAGTAACCCTATATTAAGGCTGCCGTACGGCAGAACTTCCCCTATTTTTGGCATTGCTTTTGCTGTCAAAAAGTGTTTTAGGACGCCAAACATACCTAGGCATAATTACTAGTTTGAAATAGAGGTATCATGGTTGAATGGTTGGAAATGATAAAAAAGACTCCCTTTTCATAAAGCTTGTGATTATTTGAGACAAAAAATCATACAAGTACGGAAGACAGCCAATTAGAATAATGCATCACATGGTATCATATGTTCTTTGTAAACCTCAGCTACAAATTAATTAATAGGTCGTTATTGACCCCATATCCATGTAATACTATTTCAATTTTCAACGCTTAAAATTTGAAGGAAACATAAATTTTAAATGGATTGTTCACTAATGCATTCGAGTAGAAGTTCAAATATGAGAGAAAATAGAGAGCTGAAAGAGTTCAAATCAGAATACCTAATTCGGCAGCTTTCATTGCAGCAACTTTTGCAGCATTCACGTCTTTAGTGATGTCAACATCACTGCTATGGACGTGTCCAATGGCCACTCTTTCAACAGTCTCCTCAGCTTGCTCCAAACCTGACCGCTTTTCATCACCTATAGTAAAAGAATACACAGAAACTAATCGCAAAGTAATAAAACAATCAACCATTAAAAGAAAAAAGTCACAAAATAATTACCATCCTTATCAGAGTTAGAGCCCTTACCCAAGCTAAAGAGTTTCGACTTCTTAGCTGGAGACTCGTGATTTTTACTGTCAAATATAGACTTGTCTTCAAACTGTTCCTTACCTACTCCACCAAACCTATCCTTCTTTTTCACATTAACTCCTCCTTCATCATAGTTCACTCCCTCCTTTTTGATAGGCTTCAGGCCATCGAAATCCTCTAGCCCACTCCTGTAACCTTCTTTAGGGCGATATTTATTAGTGTCCCTCTCCCTCGAAGAAGATGAGTCATTCCGATGGCCCCTGGATTCCTCAGTGTAATTGTCCCTTTTATCTCTCAAGCTTCTATGGTAGTCTACTTTTTCATCTCGACCATCCCTGTCCCACCTTCGATCTCTACCCCTCTCTTCAGAGATAAAGTTGCCATGTCTCCTAACAGAGCCGACTCTGTCAAAAGATGAATCCTTGTCCTTATATTTGTGAGGCTCTAGAAAAGGTGATTCTTTTTCCTTGTCCCTGCTTCTAGGTCCAGCGTCATTGTATCTATCACGAGAATATTTGTCAGCATTTTGTGAATAGTCTTTTGACCTACTAAGGTCACTTACTTGTCTTGGATGATCAGAATGAGCGATAATTCTTGATTCTCGATCAGAACTAGAGGAAAATCTATCATACTTGCTCTCTTCATTTCCACGCTTGTCATGCCTGGAATAACCATAAGAGCTCCTGGAAGACTGTCGATCAGAATATCTATAAGAATCACCATTTCTACTATATCGATTCCTAGTAGAATCCCTATCTAGTTCTCTCCCATCTCTTCCTGGTCGAGTATCAGCACTTTTTTCCGGATCATCCCTAGAAACCATGGGACTAACGCTGTGGTCACGCTGAGGAGAACTTCCTGTAAACATCACAATCAGAAATGGAATCTTAGAAATGTGACACTGTGTATGAATCAATCTTTCAAGATCCAAGTTGGAGGAGAAGAGGAACCTTACAAATTTTTTGTCATATTAATTGTCATAACTGTTAACTCGTAAGTGCAATTGCTTAAAGGAAGAAAGATATTTGACCTCCTAAAATTGAAGCTTAATGTGTTAAATGTTGATTTAGTCCAACAGTAAGTCAAGCTCTGTATACCATAAATTAGTCAAGATTCGCAATGTGGAAAAGGCACTAAATTTATATTTCTAAAAGTTATTACTTACATAAAAATAGCTATCATGCATGCAAAATCAATCCAAACAAGGCTTCCTCATATATCTAAACTTTCGGGGTTTTGTATCATCGTAAGTAAATAGATTAACCAAGATATTAAGGGTAAAAACCAAAGATTTGCATATCCCAAATTCTGAATCAAGCAACATATAACCAGAAGCAAATATTAAACAATATCGAAAGCACTTCTGAAAGACTATTCTCTATTTAACTATAAGTAATCATGTCAAATCAATTGCTTCATACAAAAATAACTAGACATTGATCATAGTAACAAATTGACAACAGAAGGGTAGGCTGAAAGAAGAATTCGCCGCATGTTTATGACCATGTTGCACATGATGGCAAGGAAGAGAACCCTTAGAAAACAAAGTGGTCAAGAAAGTTGAGATAAATTTCTAGCAGATTAGGAAGTGCAGTTTTCATTTGATGTTCCGCAAATTTAGGTCATTATTGTAGACACAAGGAATACTGTTACGTACTCCGATGAGGTGTTTTATAGCATTTAGGAGAGTAGTGGTTAATTGTTTTTCTCTATGTTACTTGGACTTTAAAGTGTCATAGATGGGTATGTGTCGAGCATAGGTCTGTTAAATTTTTCTCCAAGTCTTCCAATGCATTTGGAGGATCTTGGGAGGGTCATATCCCCATACTCATGCCAGATACATATATCGGATACGGGTAATTCAAGAAAAATGAAAAGCCAAAGCAACAAAGTTTTTATGATCAAGTCTTAGTTTATGCTTGTGTGAGGAGAATTCTAGTAATTATTCTTTTTAGGCGTTCAATTTGAACCATCCACTCCCTTTAGATCCTAGACTAAATCAGACTCAAACCAATTTCCAGAAGAAAGCATCCTTCAAATTTTAATCTAACCTAATCCAAAAGAAAACATCCTTCAAGCTTCAACCTAATCTTGAATCATTGTCAATATGTCCTATTCATAGCCAAGACCAAACAGTAGATTTAATCCATTTTCCTTTCTTTCTGTTTCTTCATAAACTTATTGTTGCCCTCAACTGAGGTTTCCTTTCTAAACCAACCAAACACCCTATTTTTTTAGCTAAATGCATTTTCCTTCCACTTAAGATTCAACATTATTGTGTTTCGAGTGCAAAGGTACAAATTCAACCCAAATTATGTTCAAGTTTCCGGAAGAACCAACAAAACTTAGGATAAAAATTAACAATCAAACCTTCAGATGAAGATAACCCGCTAACTGGAGTGCGATGCCTATACTGTCGGTTAGATGTATCATTAGAAGGCTTACAAAATGCTGCTTTTGCATCAGAACCATCAGGCGGTGAAGTTTCTAAATTCGGTTCCATGAAGCCGACTACCTGCAATAAAACATATCTCTGCATCATGCTAACATGACAAAGCACTAAAGGAACAACCTATTACGTTGGCTGCCAATAATAAGAGAAAGATGCTATTTTTTGGGTTTTTTTAGGAGGAGAGAGGGGGTACGTGTTTTTGTTCTTTCTTTTAACTAAATTCTAGTTCAATTCATTGCAATCTTCGAATAATTATAAACTAGGAAAAATTTCAACTGAAATTCGGGATGAGATATTTTTTGCTAAAGATTAAATTCAGCCAGATAACCCGAAACGCCACGCAAAAAGTAAACAAAACCTACAAACCTAACCACATTAAAATCGAAAACCAGACAGCAAATAAATAAAGAAATTGAATTATATAGTTAGATTAGAGTATTACCTTAGAATTTATTGTTGAAAGTTTGGGCAACGTTTAATTTCCCCTGCAATGCAAAATAAAGATGGAAATTAGCATGAAGGAGACAAATAACAAAAACGGAGCTCAGAGAATCAATTATTTAGTGACGGCTTGCACTCTTGCAAGACGAGGAAGAAACACAAAAGAAAACGAAAGGAGAACGAGATTGAAGAAAAGGGAGGAAGCGAAGGGAATTAATATATACATATACACACACACTTATTATTTGTCCACCCAGCCTCCTAGCCAATAAATTAAAGCATAAAATGCGTAATTGTACCGTGGTATAGGATGTTTTGTTGTTCTGAGTACCAAAATTTATAAAATGGTTATTTAACTTGTAAAAATAATATAACACTAAATAATATAATAATTCGATTTATTAAGTCACCTTAGTAGTAAAAAAAATGAGTGTTATTTTTTTCTAAAAACTTTGAGTTGTATCAGCTATGACTGTAACGTATATGGGTGATGTTAATTATTAATAAAATTATGAAAAGATAATATTTTATAATCATTTTAAATTATTTTAAAAAAATTAAAGAGCTATAAATTTTCGTAATTTATTTTAAGATAAACAATATTATCGGTCTCCTATATCTTCTCGTCAACACAGCACACATATACGAAACATCACACATATCCAAAGAGTGAATATTCAGCAATGGTGAACCGTGATAAAAGTGAGATTGATGTGTCTCAAATTAAAACAACTAAAGCCGCAGATGTGGTCTTGGGCACAGATATTACGAAAGAGAAAATCGCCTCAGTGACCAAAAAAAAGTTATAATATACGATTTTAACCAACTTTTTTTGGATTTGCCAAAATGACCAACAAAATCGCAACGCGAAATAAAAATCGCAACGCGATCCCCAGAATCGCAAATCAGTTTCCAAAATCGCAACGCGATTCTTGAAAATCGCAATGCGATAGTCAAATTCGCATTGCGATTTTCCAAAATCGCAACGCGAATATGAAAATCGCAACGCGAACACATAAATCGCAACGTGTATCCGTAAATCGCAACGCGTATGGGTAAATCGCAACGCGTTTCCGTATATCGCAACGCGTATCCGTAAATCGCAACGATAATCCGTAAATCGCAACGAGAATCTGTAAATCGCAACGATAATCCGTAAATCGCAACGAGAATCTGTAAATCACAACACTGAAATTTTGGGTATATAACACTGAAATCATAAACTAAATCCCTAAATCGCAACTCATTCCATCTCCATCTATCACTCTCTCCGGCGACATCCGTTCCTATATCCAACGACATCCTTCCCAATCCGGCAACAGGTTTTAGTTTCGCAGCTCGTCTGTTTAGTAAATTAATTTACAACCATGAAATCATCTAATGTTGATCATGTTTGGATAGATTTGTGTTTTGGAGGGTCATGGGATAATGTTCATGGTGTTTTACAATATATGCCTTTACCCATGAATCTTCAACTAAAATTGTCTTTACAAAAGTTAACTTATGAAACTCTAATGCTACGTGTTTCAAATAAATTGAATTTAGAGCCCCTAAGTGGATTTAGGCTATCTTATCAGAGAAATGGTAAAGTTTATTTGTTAACCGACAATGAAGATGTTGAACGATTCATTGCTTACATTAGGGTTTCACAAGATGATGTTACATTGTATGTTGTTGAACCTAGAAGTAGTATTGTTGGGTCAGTAGCGGGTAGTAATCAACTAAGTTTTTCTCAAAACCCACAACCTTTCTCTAATCCAAATCCCAATCAACTTTCAGCACCAAATTCTGGTTTTCGTATTGACCAGTTAGACGATGATGAGCCAACAGAAAAAATTGTGAGTACTAGTCAGTATTCGAAATTTGGTCTTGGTCAATATCCGGACTTTGATATTGGTCAATACACGGATTTTGATGATGTTTCAGAAGAAGAAACAGACCATGCGTGTAATGATATTGATATTGGTCAATACCCGAATTTTGATGATGAAACAGCCGTTGCCGAAGAATGTAATGTTGATGATAATGAGGAGGAAGTTACGACTGTGAATGAACATGTTGAACATCCATTCTGTAATTCATATAATCCTGAAGAAGAAAAAGAAGAAGAAAAAGTCCCCGAAGAAAAGAAAATGCCACGGGCGTATAACTGGAATATGCCAGAATTACTTCAGATACCGGAAGAAGAGTTGATAAAGAAAGCAGTTGATTGTTACACAAAAGTTATTCGTATCAAGAAAGATGATTGTTTTGATACAAAGGAAGACTTGAAGATAGCTTTATATACGAAATGTGTGGAAGATGGCTATCAACTAAAAGTTAACAAATCAAGCAAAGATCGTTTTGAAACAAGGTGTATGATTGACAAAAACTGTACGTGGCGTATGATTGCAAAGAGAATAAAAGATTGCAAAATGTTTCAAGTTAGGACTTTTATTGATAAACATACATGTTCAAGAACCCAAGTTTTTCCTCACCATAGACAGGCAAACAAAAAGGTGTTGGGTGGTTTTCTGGCTGAGTTAATGTTTTGAATGGCAGGGTATATCGGGGACATGAAATTATGACTGACATGAATGCTCGGTTCAAGATTAGTATATCATATTCTCAAGCTTGGAGAGCCAAATGTTATGCCTTGGAATTGTTGAGGGGGTCGCCAGAAGCATCGTTTGCCCAACTGCCGCTTATTGTCACAATTTAAAGCTGAAAATCCTGGGTCGGTAACTCATATCAAAACAGATAGAGATGGACGCTTTGAGTTGCTGTTTATCGCCATTGGTGCTACGGTTAGTAAATCAATAATTTTGTTGACTCATTTTTGTTAGTTACATGCATTTCACATTTAAATGAATATTTCTTGTGTATATTATTTTGTAGATTCGTTCGTTTATTACTTGCATGCGCCCAGTTATTATAGTTGACGGAGCACATTTGAAAGGTCGATACCTTGGAGTAAACTTATTAGCAGTAGCCATGGATGCTAACATGGGATATTGCCAATAGCTTACGGGGTTGGCAAATCTGAAACATCTGATTCATGGACATGGTTTATGGGGCATCTTAGGGATTGCATAGGTCCTATTAGCAATCTGACAATCATATCCGATAGGGCAAACTCAATTGACAACGCTGTTAGAAGGTGTTTCCCAGATGCTTTTCATGGACTTTGTGGTGTTCATTTGTATAGAAATCTAAAATCAAGGTCTGCTGGTATAAAAAAGCACAAATGGACATACTGGAAGGCTGTAAAAGCTTATCGGGAAGTGGATTTCAATAAGCATATAAATTGTTTAAGATGTGTTTTGCCTCAGTGTGCTCAAACACTAGAAGATGTCGGGTTTGAAAGATGGTCAAGAGTACATCAACTTGGAGCAAGATATGGTTTCATGACGTCTAATAGTGCAGAATCAATCAACGCTCTAAGTCGTCATTCCCGGAAATTACCCATTACTATGTTAATGGAGTTTTTTCGAGCCTCTATTCAACAGTGGTACTACAAGAAAAGAAACCATGCAGGTATTATTTCTTTGAATTCGTAACTTATCATATTTATATTTTACTAAGTATTGTTTATTTAAATTTACAGGAACATTGGAACATCGTGTTACACCATGGACTGAAAAAAAGATAACGAAACGTGTTGTGAAGTCAACGTCATGGAGAGTTGAACCATGTTCAAACACTTTGTTTCAAGTACTGGATAATAACTTAAATGGGCTAGTCGATCTAAATGCAAAGACGTGTAGTTGTATGAAATGGCAAACATCTGGTTATCCGTGTGGCCATGTTATAAAAGTTGCTCTTCATTTAAACCAAGATGATTCAAGCGCATACGCTATGGATTGCTACACTACAGAAGTTTATCGACAGACTTATGCCGAGATTGTCTACCCTATTCCACATCCTTCTGAGTGGGACATACCAGATGACTTACAAACAGTTTTGCCACCAGCCATGGACAGAAGGCTACCTGGCCGACCAAAAAGTCACGATCGTATACCGTCTAAGGGTGAAGAGAAGAAGAGATCGACATGTAGTCGGTGCAAGGAAAGTGGTCATACAAGGTTGACATGTGGATCACCAGTGCCATCAAAATCATCTTTTCCTCTACCAAAATATGGATCCTCATCAAAATCCAAAGCTCATATGGTGTCAAGCAAAAGGCAATCATCTTTAAAATCCCAATCACAATTGGCTTCACCTTTTGGGACTGTTAACTTAGGTGATTTTTAAATACAAACGTTGTATTATGTGGATTTTATGTGTGAACTTTTAACATTTTCAGTTGAATTAATGACTCAGGCCAACCATTTTGACTTAACCAACTCTTGTTATTCAGTTGTTATCACTATTAGGCATGCATTTGACTATCGCAACATGGAAATTACAATCGCAACGCGAAATGAAAATCCCAACATGAAAATCGCAATGCGGAAATGAAAATCGCAACGAGAGAATCGCAATGCGAAATGAAAATCGCAATGCGAAATGAAAATCGCAACGAGAGAATCGCAATGCGAAATGAAAATCGCAATGCGAAATGAAAATCGCAACGAGAGAATCGCAATGCGAAATGAAAATCGCAATGCGAAATGAAAATCGCAACGAGAGAATCGCAATGCGAAATTATAAACGCATTGCGATTCTCTCGTTGCGATTTTCATTTCCGCATTGCGATTTTCATTTCGCATTGCGATTCTCTCGTTGCGATTTTCATTTCGCATTGCGATTTTCATTTCGCATTGCGATAGTCATTTTTGCCTTCAACATAATACAGATTGAAATCAACAAAATCAACCATTACATTTCAATCAATTAAACAAGCACAAATAAGAATTATGTTCGCATCAATTACACAAATCAACTTTTACAAATCATCTTTTACAAATCAATTAAACAATCAAAAAATAAGCAATAATTCTTATTTCCGATCATCTACTATTGAATCAACTTTTACAAATCAATTAAACAATCAATTAAACTATTGAATCAACTTTTGCAGCTCGACATCATTTTCACGCAGTTCACTTCTGAGATTAACCTGCAGAAACCAAACATTTGTTCAAACAACACTTTCTACACATAAAACCTACAAACAGCAAATTATTGAATTCTAGGTACTTAATCAAACATTTTCAAACCAAAAGTATATAAACTTACCAATTGTTTATGGACATTTTATAACGCGGATGCAGGTAGGCAGC